TCACAGCTCAGGACTAGGGTTGATGCTCCCCCTGCTCTCCACGGGGTGCGGGCTCATACTGGTCGGGTACCCAGACCATCCCAGCTCCATCGTGAGGCTACCTTGGGCTGGGCTTGGGCCAAGCTACCCTAGGTTACCCAGGCCCCCTGGAGCCACCTTTCAGGAGAATAACAACCCTTTACCCCACCCCAATTCTTCACTAGAGGGTCCTTCCTGCTGTCTTCCTCCCCGCCACCCAAATCTCCATAAGAGCCATGAAAAGATTTTGCTGTTCTTCCTATGGGGAATGTGCAAGGAAAGGGTTTTGCCAACCATGTGCCCAGCAGTGCCTGCTACAGGCTAGAGCATAATAGTGGGGACTCTTGCCCCATCCTCCCCTCTTCTCATGTTCCTATGTCTTGGGTCTCATTTTTATTTATTTATTTATTGTCAGGGCATGAGAGAGAGAGAGAGAGAGAGAGAGAGAGAGTGAACGCGAGCCCCTCAATGGGGGCGTGGCTATGCTACAATCCCTTCTCCATTTCTCCATCCTGTTGGGATATTGAGCATACATGCACACGTATCCAGGGTGCTTTTTAAGCCTCTGGGGCCAGAATTCAAACCACAATCGGCCATGTAGATTCTGGCTCCCTTAGCCACTGAACTACTGGGTTGGCCCTATTATTCTATATTTTGGTCAAAGCTTGAGTCTCCTTACTCCTCGCCAGCCTCACTCTCCCCATCTGAGGTCCGACATGCAAATGTGGCACTGGCCAGCTGAAAGCTCGTCCCCCCTCAGGACATCATCCAGGCCCCTTTGGGAGTGTAAGGTTCTTCATCTTCTTCATTCAATGACCACTTCATCTCTCATCCTTCTTCTTTATTATTATTATTATTTAAATTTTTTCAGAGAGCATATGCACTCACCAGACACACACACACAAGAGAGAGCCACACAGAGAGAAAGCACCCCCCATGGGGCACGATCATGCCACAATCCTTTCTCCATTCTCCTCGCGTGATTTTGAGCATGCACACACATGCACCCAGTGTGTTTTTCAAGCCACCAGGTCTGGGACTGTAACTGTTCATTTGGACGTGTGGGAGCCAGCACCTTAACCACTGTGCCTCCTGCTGGCCCCTACACCGATATCCTTTAAAGCCAACTTGTTTTCTGGCAAGAGCAGAAGCTCCATAGTCATCCTGTCTATTCACTCCCCCCCAAGGCATAGCAGTGCCTACCTCTGAAAGAGCCCAGGTCCTTTCAGTGAAGAAGAGTGTGGGAGCCCAGCACCTGGGGACCACATGGGCAAATGCAATCTTGATGCTGTGACCCCAGCCCTTTTGGCTGGGTCTCATGTCATACTGCTACATGGGACCAGGGGTGGTCGTGCTTCTGGCCCATAGTGCTCTGCTGGAATGTGCTGTTCTTACCACCACTGGCCCTGGCATGCAATGGACGCTCGCTCCCCTCCACCTGTTCTAACGTCCCCTCCATTTCAGAGGAAGAGTGGAGCCAGTCTGCATCTGCTGGAGGGACAGTTCAGGAACAATGGAGGGGCCATTCAGTAGAGAAGAGCCAGTTTCACTATTTGCAGTTTCTCGTAGAGCCTGAAAGACTCAGTCCATTCTAAGATCAATTTTATTTTTTTTTTTTGGAGAGGTTTTTGCTATAGGGCGTGTGTGCTCGCCAGACAGAGAGACAGAAAGCAAGAAATCACTCCCCAGGGGGGATGGCCACACCACAGTTACTTCTCCTCCATTCTCCTCTCGGGATCTTGGGCATGCACACACATGCGCCCAGCGTGAGTTTAAGCCACCATGTCTGGGACGCGAACCGCGGTCGACTACGTGGGAGTCCAGCGACATAGCCATTACGCTAACTGCTGGTCCCTCTAAGATCACTTT